ATTGAGCCCTGCATCGGGCTCTCTGCTCAGTGGGGAGCCTACTTCCTCCTCTCTCTCTCTGTCTGACTCTCTGCCTACTTGTGATCTCTATCTAAATAAATAAAATCTTAAAAAAAAATTTTTTTTTAAATAAAAAAAAAAATAAAAAAGCTTCTTCTCAAGTAGTACAAAAACCTATTTGCATTCCTTGGCAGCAATAAAGAAATGATCTCTAGGACTAAGATGAAGGAACTAAGAGGATTATAATGGTAAGAAATAAAACTATCTGCAATAGAATTTTCAAACTTTGGGTCTTAGGATATCTTCATATTCATTTTTTTTAAAAAAGATTTTATTTACTTATTTGAGAGAGAGATAGAGAGAGCATAAGACCAGGAGTGTTAAAGGGAGAAAGAGACTCCCTGCTGAGCAGGAAGCCTGAGGCAGGACTTGATCCTGGGACTCCTGGATCATGACCTGAGCTGAAGGCCATTGCTTAACCAATTGAGGCACCCAGGCACCAACATCTTCATGTTCTTAAAAAATATTACTGAGGATCCCAAAGAGCAAGTTTTACAGGGATTATAACTGTTGATATTTACCAATGACAAACTAAAACGGAGAAAAGTTTATATATCATTTAAAAGCAATACATGTATATGGTAACAAATATCTTTATGAAAAATAACTGCTAAACAACATGCCTTCATAAATGTCTCATGCTTCAAGACAACTTGCTATGTGTGTCAAGAAGGCAATGCTCTGATGGCTCTTTACTTATGTTTCCTCATGGTTGTATAGGCAGTAAGTAGCCCTGCAGGGTAAAGCAGGGTCTCCCTCCAGGACAGCAAGCAAGCTTGCTTACTGCCAGCTGTGAATGGTAGGCCCCCCATGCTCAGTCTGCTTCTCCTGTTATGCAACCATTCTGTGTCCAGGCATCCATCCAGGCCTGGCTGTGCTGCCCCTGTGGGACTTGTCCTCACTGGGGGAAACTGATGTAAACATACCGACACCCTGGCTATGGTTTTGCTGTGAATAATAAAGTCTTTAAATTCTGACATAGGAGCTTCATGTCTTCAGCCAGCCTTCCATTAAATGGTGGTAAGCTAATCTGTTAACTTGCAAGTAGAGTAAAACCTCAGACCCTTTAGAGTTCTTGACAATCACAACCAAAAAATGCAAGAAAAACAGCAGTGCTTAACATTTTTGCAAATCCCTAATGTCTGGCTTAATAGAAGAGAGGTTCTCATCTGGTTCAGTCCTTGAAATATAATGTCTTGGTTGAAATTTATCAAGAACATGTGGCCTCATATAGACATGCAGTTGGAAAAGAGACAACTTTGGTGACCTTCTCAAAGGATCTCAGGATCCCAGTGCTCCTTGGACCACGCTTAGAGAACCAATGATTTATGGCTATGCAGCTTTCTGACTACATAAAGATGACTTTACTACAGAGCACTCAGTGTTCACAAAATTCTTGCTCCAGAAGATGAAATTCCAAATCAACTTTGAATTCATTGTTTTAATACTGTTATTGTTGCTTTTGTTATTTGTTGTTTATTATTTATTATAAGAACTTTCTAAAAATCCATTTATCCAAATACTCAACCACTAAACTTGCCCTCATCAGAGTTAATAGATCATTCATCAGTCTCATCAAAGGTTGTTAATTCTTCAAGGCTAACTTTAAACCCCTTCATTGTTGGGTCCACCAATCCTAAACTATTATTTCATAAACTTTGCCCAATCCTAATCCGCCCTCTTACTACTTTGAAAGACCTGCCTTACACTAGATTCCCCAACCCTTACAAATACCCTGCCTTTCACCTTCCCTTCCTGAGACACTTGCAAAGCACAGCCAATAGAGTGACCTCCTTTAGTGCAATAAGCAATAACTTGGTCTTCCTTTATAAATAAGTTAGTTTGGTAGTTTTTATAAGATGTTAATTAATAATCTACTTCTTATTTATATCACTTCTTCTCCAATAAGTGGGTCTCCGTTTTGAGAAACTAAGCATCAAATGTGCTTAACACAACCTTCTTTGCATAGCTTAGGAAGAGAAAGTTCTGGGGTCCTTCATTACATGGTGAAATCCTGGTATTTAATCTATTATTAAATCACATAAAATTTAGGGTTGTCAGGTTTACCAAATAAAATATAGAACACTCGATTAAATTCCAACTTCAGTAAAACAATGAATAATTTTTTAGTGTAAGTATGTCCCAAACATTGCACTGGGCATCCTGTGTTTTATCTGGCCACTTGACCTAACACTTGTGCTGCAGGACTTGTGGCTTTACTTTAACAACACACATTTTCCATGTGCTTTTTATTCATGATTGAGGAAGATCCTAATGACTTTATAAAACTGAATTCAATAATTACCTTAGGGTCCTTAATTTAAGTTGGTAGGCAAATTAGAGATGAAGTATGGAAAGAACAAAATTCTAAGGTTGTCAAGAAAAATTCTTGTTCTGTCAAAGAATCCTGAAGATTGTGTTTAAACCCCTGAGCACCAGATCTTAAGTTCTCAGCTAGAACTACAGGCTAAAAAGCTATCTGCAATGTAGCATGAAGCTGGATTCAAATTACATAGAGAGAAAGTTGTGGGACTGCAGACACTACACACAGCACGTAAGAAAGTAAGCTAAGAAACTGGTAAGCAGAAGTGAGGCCAAGATGAGATTATTATAACAGCAAGTGTCGAAGTTTTTCATTTTTAATAGGCTCTGTATATTTGAAATGGTACAATCCTTAGTCTAGGATTTCAGGGCATTAAGTGTGTTACACTTAATGTGCATCCCATGCTGATATCCAACATTTGTTAAGACCATCTAATGTTGAAAGTTAATGAAGAACAACAACAATCTTCAAACTACTCTGTTACGGTCCTATGATTTTGCATAACTAAAGCTTTTTAATAATTAATTTTTCATGTATTAATAGCATTACAACAAAAAGGAAAACATACCAAACTGAGAGGCAGAAGACTTGGACACTTCAGTCTCAGTCCTACAGCTAACTGGTTCTTTAACCTTGGGCAATTTGGTTCCCATGTTATTTTGTTACATTTGCAATAACAAAGTGCTGTTGCTTAAACAAGAACAATTTATTCTCTCACAGTTTTGGAGGATAAAAGTCCCACATTGAGGTCATCAGCAGAGTTAGTCACCTCTGAGTCCTTTCTCCTTCCCTTGCAGATGGCCATCTTCTCCCTGTGTCTTCACATTATCTTCCCTCTGTACATGCCTGTTATACATAAATGTTTGTGTCCCCCCAAAATTCATATGTTGAAATCCTAATCCTCAATGTGATGGTTTAGGTTGGGGGTACTTAGGGAGGTGATTAGTTGATGAGGGTATTGCCCTCATGAATGGAATTTGTGACCTTATACAAGAGACCACAGAGAGCCTTTGCCCCTTTTGCCAACGAGGACATGGCAAAAAGATAGCAGTCTGTGAACCAGGAAGCTGATCCTCACCAGACACCAAATCTCCTGGTTCACTGATCTTGGACTTCCCAGCCTCCAGAACCATGAGAAATAAATTTCTGTTGTTTATAAGCCACCCAGTCTATGATAATTTGTTATAGCAGCCCAGATAGACTAAGACAATGCCTGTGTCCAAACTTCCTCTCATCAGGACACCTTTCATATGGAATTACCCCAATGACTTCACTTTAATTTAATTACCTATTTGAACATTTTGTCTGCAAACACAGTCACATTCTGAGGTACTGGGAATTAGACTTCGACATATGAATTTGCAGGGACACAATTCAGTCCATAACCATTCCCCTTTCTGATAAGGATATTGGAATTAATCATTCTAAAGTCTGTTCTCACTCTATGATTTACATACAGTAAATATAATATATATACATATATACAGTTATATATATATATATATAATCTAAATCAGATTACCTGTTACACTTTATGGACTACAAAATTAAAACTAGTGGGTATAAAGCTCAAGAAAACTAATATTCATCAAGAGAAACAACTGAAATCATACCATTACAATCTTAATGAAGACTACAGATGGAAAATGTTCATTTGAATTTCAAATAGTTGTAGCATTTTGAGTATACTGAAATGATTCAGCAATATCTGCATGGTAGAAAAAAATTTAAGTAATTGTCGTTCTCTTATTCCAGTAGGACCTAGGAGGATATTTTGCAAATATCTGTTGAAACTTTCACAGGTGGATACTATCAAAAGGCTTTTTACTGAGGCTATGAAAATTAGTTAATTCTATAATAGCCATGTTTATGATTTGAGGATATAGCAAGAGATCTGTGGTGGCACCTCTTGTTATTTTTTTTTTTTCTGTAATGATTTTACAGCTAAGTTGATAGCATAATATGCATTCTCAAGGGTCTTTATTCCCATATTCACCTGGAAAAACTCAAAGAGAAAGCCATCTATAATTTATCCCTGGTAGACTCAAAGCCTCCGTAAACTCTTTAGATGCATTTTGGTCAGAGCCACAGAACCATGAATGACTTCAATGAGAAGTGATCTAGACTAGTGCATAATAAAATCAGTCACACAGAATGACATGAGGAGTACTTAAGATTATTTAGGCCTCACTTTAATACATTTACATTTAGTAGGTTTAGGATAGAGCCCATGAGTAAAAATTTTTGACAAAGACATAACCCCCTGACAGTCATATACTCCCCACCAAGATTTTTATGTAGCTGGTCTACCTACGTTTGGCATTTGTTGACAGAACCCTGGATCTCACAGACCCTAGAATGTACCACAGGACCCCATCAATCCCTGAAGAACTGAAATAGTTTGGTTCTGCTTTCTACTGCCAGAGATACTCTCCATCCCACAAGGTCAAGAGCTGTGTATAAAGGAATAATAACATTGTGAACGTGGGCAGAGCCATCTATGATATTCTAACATATTTAAAATGTTCTTTAATAATCAAGGAATTTTAAGTCCCAATTACGTATCCTAACTGCTTATACGAATTTGAAGAGAAAAGAGCTAAGACTATTCTCTTACCTGGCATTTTCTCCATCTGTAGCATTCATTTGCAAGAAAAAGTTCTGGAAGATTTTGAAACTTAGTGAACACACTGTCTAGTTCATCAATACAGGTAATCTCTGCCTTTGCCTTCAACCATCTTACTTTACAACACTGTAGAGAGAGAAGTTAGTTACAGAAAACTATTAGTAATCAGAACAATTTCTAGCCATAGAAATGCAAATTGTGTCCAGTGAATGTCACTAATTATAGTCCTGCAAATATTGCTTTTGGCTAGTTTGCACCCATTCAAAAAATTCATCTCGGCGTTGCTTATCTGACAGTAAATAGTTGGTACTCTGAATTTTCATTTGAGTGGTTTATAATATCTTCCTTGTTCTCTCATTAATTAGTGAGTTAAGTAAAAATCTGACAGATATTAACTTGTATGAGAATTATAACCATAACGACTTCTAAAATTTATCTTTTAATCTACTCATTTATTAAACATTTATTGACTATATATTAGGCATCACATTTGTTAGTAAACAAAAGAGACATAGCCCCCCCCCTTTTTTAAAATAGAATATACAGTTTAAAAAGAGGAACAAAGTAGTAACAGGTTCTAAAGGAGCAGGCAATGAGAGTATAGTGTCTTTTTTGTGGGCACCCTTGGATACAGCCGCCTCCAAGGATCCCTGTATCCTGACTGCTAATCTGTTCTTGTGCCATGCCCTCCCCTTGACTATAGGGTGGATATATTGACCTGTCTATGAGGAATAGAACCAAAGAGAACACAACATATGGGATGGCATGTAATTCCCAAGACTGAATTACAAAAAAACTGTCATTCTAGGTTAAGCACCCTTTCTCGTTCTCTTGCTTGCTTGTTCTTAGGGAATCAGCTGCCACGCTGTGAGCTGCCCTATGAAGAGCCTCGTGTGGCAGAGAACTGATGTCTCCAACCAGCAGCCACATGAATGAGTGTGCAAGGAGATCTTCCCACAGTCAAGCCTGGAGAGGACTACAGCCCCAGCCAACCCCTCAACTGCAAACCTCTGAAAGACCCTGAACCAGAGGCACGTGGATTCCCTACCCACAGGAACTGTACCACATTGAATGCTGCTTTAAACCATTACATTTTAGGGTAACTAAAATGCAACAATGGGTAACTATTATAGTCTTTTTCTTGGCAAACCATTAGAATATTCTCTCACAGATGCCCCAACAGTAACCATAAAGCTTAGCGCCAGTGCGGAGATCTTGCATCTAATATTGTTACCCTTCAGCTTAATTGTCCAGGAATTAGTTACAGAGTATCCAGGTCCAGATGAACCAACACTGGAAACTGCAGATACAACAGCACAAACATTCAGTAAGGAGAGAGAGGAAAAAAAAAAAAAAAGTCCTCCTCCCAAAGGAGATCTACCGTGACAACATAATCCTCATAAATACTAGAGGAAACGACTCTAGTAAAAGGGGAAATATTAGCTTGTGATGCTATATAAATCATGGAATAGTTCTTTTTAACAAAAGCCCAGACTTTTTGAATAACCTGGCCTTCTTTGAAGGTCATGGTTTCTTCTTAAATGTTTTCCTACATTGATCCCTTTTCTTTCCTCCTTTCTTTTGATCTTAGCAGTTTCACATGCCATCCCCTTTTAAGAAGTACCATGCACCAATATGAGAATATGGTAAAAGAGAAACTGGAACTGGAAATGCCTGAGTTTAAATTTTGGCTATTACCAACTATAGAGCTTTGGTAAGTTACTCAATCTTAAAACAGGCATGATAATGTTTACCTTTCAGAATTTCTGTTAATTTACCAGCTTCAAAATCAGAAGTAATGCACTGAAAGACTCCACACACAGTAGATACTAGACAAATAACAGTCACCATTATTATTCCCACTCTCATTTTTTTAAGGCTAATCTTATGGCATCCTCTAATATATTTTATTAAAAATCCCTTTGTCAAGCTGTATCTAACAGCAAAAGATATCCCAGATTCTACCTATATGTTCATCCCAAGATCTGGAAAATTCTATTTCAGAGAAATATTGGTTCTTCAGTGCTAATGCAGAGGAAAGGTTGTTTTTTGGAAACTGTCAAGTAAAGTAGAGGCTAAGTGACCAGGAAATTTGTCATAAGGCAATCTTACGTACTTATTGTCATAAGGCAATCCATAATGTACCCCTCTCTGAAAAGAAAATTAAATGTAAAATAATTGATCAACTCAAAACATTTAAAAATCTTTGAATACAGGGCACCCTGCTAGCTCAGTCAGAAGAGCATATGACTCTTGATTTCGGGTTCGTGAGTTTGAGCTCCACATTGGGGGTAGAGATTACTAAATAAATAAACTTTAAAAATGTATTTTTAAAAAAAATCTTTGAACAAAATTTGACAATATATATTTCATTGCCTCCTGAATGGAAAAACCCAGAGAACCAGAGAATAGGAGTGGGAAGGAAAATTCATCTTACCAGTATATTTGTTGGTAGTTGAAAATTCTTTGTACTTTATATAGATATTACCTAATCAAAGTGTTATTCATTAACTAAAATTATGTACTCTAAATCATTTAATATCACACAATTCATCTTTCCCTTTCAGTTTTATTATTCCCAATATTTCTTTTTTCCATTTTAGTTCAAGAGAACATTAATTCTAAACGTTTTTTTTTTTCTAAAGTAGTACAAGTATCAGTTTTATACTTCATAGTGATAGCTGCCCCCAATCGCAGTTTTGACTTTGTGTTTCACACAGCTTTGATCATCTGTGCTGAGGAAGGAATCCACCCCTCTTTGGTCTTCTCCTAGAGGAGAGCAAACCCTGAAACTCCCCACTGCCTTTCAAGCCAACCATTTCTTGTTAGCTGTCGCTTTAGGCAGTTCATCCTAGGTCTACAAGCCAGGACACATGTGGATGCACCCTCGTTCTTCTCTCTTCACCTCCAAGACAGGTGGCTTGCTGAGATGTGAGCTGCCCTAATATTCTGTCCTTGTTCATGGACCATCATTACAGTTCCTCTTCACTGAAGAGTCAGAATAAGAAACGAGCAGGGGGAAACACACTTAACTTAAAATAGAAAAAAACTATTCTAATTGTCCTGAAACTCAGATACTCTTAGTAGTTATTTCAATGAGCTTCAGTCAGGTTCTTCTCTCTGCTGAATGGTGAGTGGAAATTTTGTGTCTTCAGAAGCACTGACGCCATCATTCCCAAGATTCAGACAAAACAAAACAAAAATCTTCAACTGAGACAAAGCAAATTAACTCCCAATTAGCCAGAACAAAGCAAAGGTTTCCACTTTTGCTAAAAAAGAACCAAATGAGGCCCCAGCACAGTAACAGGTAAGGTATTTGTACTGAAAGGATATTTGTTGGTAGGAGAAGATCTGCTTCCAGCTTCAGTGGAGAGTTGAAAAGTCCTGAAGGGGGGGTCAAATGATAGGGAAGCCATGAGGGTGTGCCAGACTCTCCACACTCTTCTTCAACCCCCGCCCTGATGCTAGGAAAGCACATCCACCTCCACACTCCATTACAGACCTTGTTCCTCTTTGCTTCCACAAGTATATTTTTCCTCCTCTACTTCTCGACTTTTCATTTTATTATTTTTTAAGGACTTTATTTAGTTATTTATTCGAGAGAGAGAGAGAGAGAGAGAGAGAGTGCCAGGGGAGGAACAGAGAGAGAGAGACAAATAGACTTCATGCTGAACACAGAGTGGGATGTGGGACTCAATCCTAGGACCCTGAGATCATGACCTGAGCTGAAATCAAGAGTCAGACACTTAACTGACTGAGCCACCCAGGTGCCCCTTGACCTTTCATTTTAACCTCATTAACCTCATGAGCTTTATTTTTATTTTTAACTGGCCTCTCTTAGTAGGTATGTTTTTTATCACTCTCCTAGCTGGATTTTTGCTCTTCATTTTACCTAACAAGCTGTATGACTCTGGGCAAAGTACCTACTCTTTCTGTGCCTGCTTTCCCTTGCCATAAAATGGAAATAGTAATGGTTCTGTCTGATGGGGTTATTGAGAGAATTACATGAGTTAGAAGAGTCACCTTTCTTAGAAGAGCACCTGGTATGAAGGATACATGGGGCAGATGTTCTTTTTATCGAAAGTTTCACTCATTTTCCCCTTCTTCTAGTTTTAATTTTTAGCTTATTTTATTGCATTTTAATTTTAGCATTATCTTAGATCTTTTTCTTGATTTTAGGTTTTTCTATAATTTTCAATCGTTATGTTTAATTTTGTTTACATTATTGTTAGTGCTCTCTAATAGTTTACTTCAATTACTAGCTTAGGCCTGTCCTTCACTTGGGTTTTGTTGACTCTCTTTGTTCTCTCATTTCTTCTTTTTGATTCAAATCAACAGTGACAGTGATTTTTTTTTTTAAGATTTTATTTATTTATTTGACAGACAGAGATCACAGGTAGGCAGAGAGGCAGGCAGAGAGAGAGGGGGAAGCAGGCTCCCTGCTGAGCAGAAAGCCCGATTCGCGACTCGATCCCAGGTCCCTGAGATCATGACCTGAGCCGAAGGCAGAGGCTTTAACCCACTGAGCCACCCAGGCACCTTGTGTGATGGTGATTTTTAATGGCCTGTCTTCATTGTGGGCAACAAGAAGTGAGTCCAGAGAAATGGTTACCAAACTTTAGTGTGTCTTAGAATCACCTAGAGGGCTTGTACAACACAGAATGCTGGCACCAGCCCCATAGTTTTGGATTCAGAGGGTCTAGTTTGGGGTCCAGGTGATGCTGATGCTGTGAACTGGTGACAACATTTTGAGAATCACTGGTCTGGAAAGGTATGAATAGGGGACAGAGTCCTTATTATAACTAGGAAAACCCCTTCCCATGCATTGTAGCCGATTTTTGCCATGCACCCACTGCTTTATTGGATTTTCTCTAATTCATTCTACTTCCTGCACAGTATAAACTCTTCCCAGGGCCATTACCTCCACCCCCACGTCCCCCCCCCTCCGTGGCATATGGGTCACTGATTGGCCAAAAAGTTTACTTGTTAAAATATCACACCAAATATATATATATTACACCATTCTCCTTAAGAGAAAATATGGGGCACCTGGGTGGCTCAGTGGGTTAAAGCCTCTGCCTTCAGTTCAGGTCATGATCCCAGGGTCCTGGGATCAAGCCTCAGCA